GGTTCCAGTTTCTCCACAACCTCACCAGCATTTGTTGCTTGCTGTTCTGTTAAATTTTGCTATTCTGTCTGGGGTGAGATGATATCTCATAGTTGTTTTAGAAATACCCCTTTTCATATCCCTTATCCCCTTAATTTTTCAGTAACTGACATATAAAAATATTCCATTGAACTTACAGACTTTTAAATAAACTAATGACTTCAATTTTACCATTATATAGTTTGAATCAGTATTGCCAGGTATTGATAATATAAGTTCAGACATTTCTCTTTTGTATAAACTTACTTTGTTTCACGTTCTAAAATTGTTTATTCCTCAGACACCTTATCTGTGCTAAATGAAAACCAAGTGCAGTGGTGTGACGTGATTTCTTGTCAAACTACATCCAGATCACACCTCTAGTCAAAGGTTACTGGATACACTTCAACTATAGCAACAGAAATTAACACTTTATAAAGGACTGTGGTTGTTAGTACTTTGGAGTCAGAACCGACTCATAGCTGATGCCCCAGCATGTTTTCAGAGGCAGTGAATCGCATGAGAGATGACCCAGCCTTCTCCCACAGAGCAGCTGCTGGATTTGAACCGTGTACCTTTGCATTGGCAATGCAGTTCCTTTACCACTAAGCCGCAGAGCTCTTTCAAGGACTGTGGAATGTTCAAGTCACAGTTTTGGAAAGGACTCGGTAGGTGTGGCCATCAACAGGCTCACCCCATGATTGTAGTAATTGGATTACGCTCACTCAGTCGTTCCCTTCAGCCAGAACTCCCCTCACCCTCCAGCAGGTTTTCCGGAGGCTGTAAATCACAGGAAGAGATCGCACATATTTAAGGAGCTGCTCGTAGATCTGAACTGCTAGAGAGAGAAAGCACGTCTCCTTCCACGCTGCACCACCAAGCTCCCTGTATATCGCTTGCCCTTGAGTCATAACCAGCTTACAGCTGACCTTCCAGAAGGTTTCAGAGGCTGTACACTGCACAAGAGGAGACTGCCCATGTTTCTCCCGCAGAGAAGCTGGTGGATTTGAACTTTTGTTCAAACTTGTTGGTGATCCACTTCTGGACCCAGTAGAACTGACTCACAACCTCACCAGCATTTGTTGCTTGCTGTTCTGTTAAATTTTGCTATTCTGACTGGGGTGAGAGGATATCTCATAGTTGTTTTGGGAAGCCTTCATTTAATAATCTACAAGAACCTAAAGGATTGTATTAATTTTCCAAAGTATCATCTGTTGCTGTCATGTGCTGTTGAGTCGACTACGACTCATGGAGGCCCTGCCCACAATAGCTCTGAACCCTGCTCTATCCTGAGCAGATCCCACTGTCTCTGACACACCTACCATTATTACCCCAGTTACTGTGTCAATCCACCTCATCCTGGGTTTTCTTCTTCGGCACTGTCCCTCCACCCTTCCAAGCATGACGTCCTCCAAGGACTAGCCCCTCGTGGCTACATGCCCAAAGGATGTGAGAGAGTCTCAAGATCCTTACTTCCAAGGAGCAGCAGTTTCTTCATGCCAATTCAGTGATGCTGGTTACATTCTTTTTTTAAAAAAAAATATTTTTTCCATTCAGAAATTGTTGCACATTTTCCTCCATGCCCCACCCTCTCCCCCAATTCACTTTTCTCTTTGAAAAAATTGAAAAAAACCCAAAAAACATTCATTGTTGTACAATGCCTCCGGCCTCCCGCTGGTTACATTCTTAATGAAGGTTTCCCACTTTATAGTGATGCTCAGAAAGTGAGCAGAAGTCATCTAAATTCATACTGATCATAGCAAGGGAAATGCGAATACAGAGGAAACAACAGCCTTGGGCAGTTTTCTCACAAATATTTCTGCCAACGTTGTTAAATGTGCTTATAACATATGGCCTGTGCTAATCAAAAGCCCTGTTTTCATTGTTTAACTAGGTGTTCATCCTTGAAATACACATTCTAATGATAATTCGTCCACAGAGGAACACACCCAAGGAAATTCTGACTGATATTAAATTCTGCAGGGAGTTTCTGTGCTGACCCAGAGACCTCGCCTCTCTGCCTCCCATTCCCCAGTGTCTCTGTAAGGGGAAAATGGGCGGTTCCTCTGATATGATTGACAGCCTCTGAAAACCCACTGCAGAGTCAGCAGTGAGACATTTCAGACTTGACAGCATTGAGTATATTTCAAAATAGACTCCTTCATAGTGCATGTAGTATGACATCTGATTAAGTCACCATTTTGTCTTTTCATACTAATTTAATGGACATATTCCAGGAAGAGAAGAACTAGTGTTTTTATTACTATTCCACTGTGCATTCACTTTAGTGCGTAACGTCCTGGCCAACATCCACAGAACTAAAGGTTGTATTTATTTCATCTATTAGCCTATTGAAGGACATCTCCGTTGCT